GCTCCAACTGCACCAAAAGATTATCCTGAGAGGAGAATTAGTGACACAATGGCCAGTGATGAGTGCGGACTCATGACAATAACATAGCAGGGGAGCCTACGTGCATGAGGGCACAGATCAGGTCCTGGGCTCTCATTGTGACCAGGAGAATTTTAGCTGCCAGTTGGCTTAGATAAAAACTAGCCCAGGGTCTCAGTAGTGAAGCTATCAGGTACATAGGAGGTCAACACATGTTACATCCAACATGAACTCAACAATGTAAAGACATTGCACCAGAGTCCTCATACAGTATGTGATCTGTTATGTAAAATAGAAGATTAAGTATATTTGCAGTAAATATGAAGGAAGAGCCAGTAGGCAGTTAACAGCACAAATAATGGAAACAGGGAAACAGCTGGCCCAGCTCTGTGCAGCGGTAGTAAATCTGACCCATCAGAACCTCTAAATCTTATATCATTATATCTGGTTTGTTTAATCCCTAGAGAAGTAACCAAACTGTAAATACTATCAGTTTAATACAATGTTCAATAGTAAATTTGAAAGGTGTGGTGATTTGGATTATTTTGTATCTAGCCACAGGGGTTTCATGCCAGTGACTTCTGTGCCGGTCCCAAGCCCAGATAAATAGAGGGGGTTGTGTCAGGAAGAGCATCCGGCATAGAAACGTGCCAAGTTTTACTCATGCGGATTGGATTCGCTGTGGTGACCCCTAATGGGAACAGCCAAAAAATGGAGTAGTAGTGGTGATTTGGATTATTTTATACCTTGGAGCAGAGCCGGGCTAGCTGTTTATGCTAAGCTAGTTAACCTGATTGCCTTCTGGTTTTAACTTCATATTTAGTATATATAATCCATATGTTATCAGGCCAGAATTTCAAAGAAACAGTGAATGATTTAACTAAATAGTTTCAATTTATCTGAAATACACATTTCTTTCTCAGAGAGTTGCATTAGAAGATCAGCACCACCTTCATATCTGTCTGTTAAATATGAAACCAGATCTAACAGAAGATTTTCTTATTTTAGCTTCAAATAAAGACAGGAACAGGGGTACAGCTCATTTTTTATTTGTTTATTTTAACCTTTAACAAAGTCAAGCTGGCTGTTTCCAGTTTTTATACTGAGCTAAGCTTCGCTAGAGCTGGCTAACTGGTGACATCGACGCATTGAAGATTTACCATAATGTCAAACTATCCCTTCAGTTACTTCATAGATGACTCCTTTGTGAACAAGATAAGCACTTTTTCCAGGCAATAACTGAAAAATGTAAGTTCCTAATAGTTAATAATACCTTGCATGGTTTGCGCAAATTTTGTCCAAACAGGATAAACCTTGGATTCCTTGCAACTCCTGAGGACCACACCATCCTTCAGAACATTCAGCTGATTCTTTGTTCCACAAAAATGTCTGTTATTGTTTTTGCTGGCCTTTCAAAGGATTTGCATGGTAAAGCCAAACAAACAAATGGTTTTCAGTATTGGACATTTTCCCTGCTGTCCCTTAGCTTCTGCTGCTATATGAATGGAGTCGTTCTTCCTCTTCTACCATGATGATTATTTTCTTTCCCTTCCAACATGCTTCAACCGGATACCTCCACACCACCTATAACAAAAGAAATGTGCATCATCTGTAAAGTGGTGGCCACCTCATCTCTGCTTTTAGGTCAAAGTGTTTATTTGTCATATGCACAGTTAGGAAACGTGTTTTCCTGTACAATGAAATTCTTACTTTTTACTTTTGTATTGCTATAGTGTTCCTGGACAGGAAGAGGCAGAAGGGAGAACGGCACTGTCTTGGTTCAAAACTTTATAATTTAATCTGTAGTATATGAATTTAGTCTACATATTTTATGGAATCCTTGTAGTTAGATTTTCATACCTTAAAAGGAATGGGAAAATGTCTTGTTTACCATTCCGGTGAATGTATGAATGATACAGAAGAAATCCTTTTTCCTGGAAACATTGTTGTGATAATGTGACTCTTGTTTAAGTTCAAACTGAAACGTAATGCTGTGCTGTTTGTTTCCATTCCACTCCATTTTCTGCCACTTATCCGGAGTCCGGTTGTGGCAGCAGGTTCAGTAAGGCAGTCTACCTGGCCCTGATCCTTTCCCTGCAGGTGCAGGGGCCACAAGGCAGCACACTGTTTGTTTCTAATTCTTCTTTTCAGGCATTCTATTAAAAAAATATTCATTTAATTTGGGGTTCATACTCAACTCATTTCCAGTTTCCCCGTTATTGTTTTCCCAAAGTTTCAAAGGTAGAAGATAACAAACAACTGGAATACATTCTGACAAATTCAGCTTGTTACCACCCCCTTTACCCTGTGCCTTCATACAGAATCAGAATCAAAATCAGGTTTATTGGCCAGGTGTGTTGAACACACGAGGAATTTGACTCTGGTACATCGGCTCTCAATGTGCAGACAGTAAACCAGCATAAGGCTGTGTAATATAACAAAATAGCAGTATTAACATCAACAAACAGTGCAAACAATGCAGGGAAAGCAGTAGAAATAGACAGTAAACAATGCAGACAACAAAGGAATGTTCAATGAAATGAGATAATTAGGGATAAAAACAGAGTACCTCAAACAGAGAACTAGAGACCTGTACGAGTCTGTCTAATCTGTACAATGTATATATACACAGGTATTGCACTGAGGGTTATTGTCCAATCATACTGTCGTGGGTTAAGTGTGTAAATACATGCATTTTCTTTTGGGTGTTCATAATTATTTTTTTTTTATTTTTATGGTACATTCAGCCTGGACACCACCCCTCGATCCCAATCAAAACTTAGCACACAGTTTTCACTTTAGACATTTGTTATTTCAAGCCTTTGTTATCAAACATTCCAGATCACAGCAGAGGGTTGAAATGGAGGGTAAACCTATCGTATCACCAAGCTAGTGAACGATCATTAGATCAAACATGCGGGCAGATTCACTAACTAATTGTTAGAGAGCTCAGAACAGAAGGCAATCAGACAAGTAACTGGAAAACAGTACGATAATAAAAATATACCAATCAGTACAAAGTAAAATGCTATCAATGCTCCATATAAACAATACACTGTAATTTAAGTGTAACAATTCAAATGTGTTTGTAAAAACAGCTCTGCACTAATCCTTGCAAGTTCCTTAGGTTTGGGTATAATTTCTGAACAAAAACAATCATTTAAGAAATAAACAGTGGCAGCACAGATACTGTACAGTACACACAGTATATGATACTGTACTGTATAGTATGTCTACTGTCTACAGTCCAGTCTTTGGACAGCTACACGTTTTGTGGAAATTTCTTTGCAGTCAAATACCCAGAAATATCTCCAGACACTGGCCATCTGTCTTTGCGATGCTGTCCCAGGCCTCCACTGCAGCCACCTACAGCTACTGCTTGTTGTGGGGTCTCTATACCTCTAGTCTGGTCTTCAGCAAGTGGAATGCAGCTCAGTCAGAATTAGATCAGGCGACTGACTCAGCCAGTCAACGATGTTCCACCTCTTCACCCTGAAAAGCTCTTTGGTTGTTTTGGCTGCATGCTTGGAATCATTTTGTCAGGTGATGTTGGGTAACATTACAAATAAGTTAGTTCACTGGTAATTTTGGATTTGTATCAGATTTTGCATGAATGCAATGGTGTATCTTAACTGTTGGGTAAGGGCACACAGCAATTTTTTGCCCAGGGACCACTTAACAGGTTGATCCGACCAGAGTTAAACTATAAAGTGGAAGAAAATGCAAACGCTCAAGTACAGTAAGTATAAAGGAAAAGAGCAAAATATAAAGTGAAGAATATAAAAATGAAATCTAATCTCTTGGTGAACAGTGTGTAGGAAACAAACAACAAACTGAAACAAAGCTTTTATGCAGTTTTGTACACAGGTGTGCTTAATGTGAAATAACGAGACACAATACACAGACAGGTGACAAATCAAAATAAATACCTGAATAAATGAGTGGTCTCGTCCAGGATGACAACATCTTCATACACTGGACACAAGGGGTCAATGAATAGTTTGATGAGTATGAAAATAATTTGACTCATATGCTGTGTCCTTCACAGCCACCAGATCTCAACCCAGTTGAACACCTATGGGAGATTTTGGACAGGCGTGCTAGACAGTGTCTCCACCACTATCACCAAAACACCACATGAGGGAATATCTTTCTGAAGACTTGTAGAATCATTGTCAAGGCAGAGTGAAGCTGTTCTGGTGGCACGTAGCAGTTAACACCTTACTAAGACACTTGATGCTGGTTTTTCCTTTCATCTCTCACCTGTATGTAGGTGCAAGAGAGAAGAGGTAACATACAGCAATAAATATCAGAATGGTATTATATAGAATTGATATTATAACAGATATGTAGTACAAAAACTAAAGCGACAACAGTGCTTAAAGTGGAAAAAGTTAGATATGTATATGGATAGTACAGTATATAGTACAACAGTGTAGTATAACAATAACTGTAGGATAATAGAATACACAGGGTTTAATGTGATAATCTTCTTATGTTTTAATCTCTTGTTTTTCTTTTTTATTTTGTTTTGGTCAGTCATCTGTAAATCACTTTGAATGGCATTAACCTGAATGAGAAGTGCTATAGAAAGTTGACTAATTGATTGATTGACATTGATAAATAGAAATGACATAACATGTATTCAGTGATGAAAGAAGTGCTGAGATTATTTACTTTAGTAAAAAATAGCCATGTCACAGTATAACAATACTTTGCTCCAAGTACAAAATGGCACATTTTACATTAATCTATATCACATTATTGGATTATAATTATTGGTGCATTATTGTGTGCCTTATATTTAAATTTGAGGTAAGAGCTACTATAATAATAATAATAATAATGACATAATAATGATTTATAACATTCTTTGCTACTTCCACAGAAGTAGTCGGAGACTTCCTTGTGTGTTGTGACGCTCGGCGCCGCCATTGGCTGACAAGAAGACAAGCCTTCGTTCTGACCCACCCTTCAGAAAGGCCAACTAGGATATATTAAACGTAACCCGCCTATTGTTACGAAAGACTCGTATCCTTAAAGTTCATGGACGCATCCTAGAATATTATAAAAATTTATGAAACTGTCATTTAAAACTTCCGGAGTTCTGAAATAAAACAGCGCAGGAGAAACAGCCAACCTCCAACTGAATCTGCAGGGCTCTTCGGGAGAAAACCACAAAAAAAAAGAGACTGTAAAAGCCCTCGACTGAGGTTTTAAGTCATTTCAGCGGAGAGAATCCCTTAATGATGACAGACGTCTGAGCGAAAATTGAACGGGAAACCTCCCAGGAAGTTCCTCCATCGCTGCAAACTTGACAAAAGAAAAGAAGACAAAGGAAGAGGAAAAAGCAGAAAGAAAAATTCCCTCACATCGGTGTCAGCATGGACACGAAAAAGGTAATTCTGTAACTAATTTCACTACAACTAGCTTCAAATCAGAGCTCTTACTTTGTTGCTGGCGCAGTTTCCAACAGACCCTCAGTTCAAAGAGTTCATGAGGCGACTTCCATGTGGAGCTGTGATGCAGCTCATACAGCTTCTCCTACGACAGTATTACCCCTATGTAGTATCAAATAGTGCTTATAGCGCGTACAAGTTTTATTTTATGTTAAACTAAGTGTTGGCACTTTTATCTCAGAGGTAAAAAAATCCAGCAACACTTGTAAAGTAGCACTTTATTTCAAAGATCAACACATTTCGGTGTTACTAGGATTGAGTACTTTCACCAGTACAGTTGAATTGTAGGCGAATCTTTCTTTCTTCATGTCTTTTAGTTCATAATGTGTATGAAAGCCATTGTCCCACGTGTGTTTGGGGGACATGATGCAGTTCTCTTTCATAGTTTGTATCATAAAACAGTCACACAATTTCCCCTCGAACCTAACAATGTTTATATCAGACCCCTATAAATCCCAATAAATATGACCCTGTATCAATTTATATGATCAATGATTTATTTCAAACACAGATGTTAAAAAAAATGGACCTTTTCTAAGGCAAGAAGGACAACGGCATTTTTGTTTAACCATGAATAGAATAGGTGACCATGTATTCAGAATAATCACCAGTTAAAGGTTAAGTTTCATAATGCAGCACAAAACCTGCATTTGTTTAAATGAGGACAAACGAGTAGCACAAACTGATGGTAGCACTCATTCACCAATGGCATGAATTACATCTGTCCTGGGTGGTGTGTTCCTGTTACCGGTGTTGTATCCTGTTGTGTTCCCCCTTATATCTTAAGCCAACCCCAAACCTTATCCTATGTGAAGGAGTAAGCAAAGTATTAGTTAGGAAAATGAACAGAGGTGTTGGCAACATGTACATTTTGAACATTTTTTTTTAGCCTTCCTGCAGCTGTTTGTTTTCCTCATTAGTTAATCTAGTGATTGTTTTCTCGGTTAAGCGATTACCCATCTGGTCTAGAAAATGCCACAAAATGTGAAAGCGGGAGCGATATGAAAAGGTCAACGCGTTGTTACACTGCAGCTGATCGCACAGTGTCACAGGTCACAGGTCACAGAATGTGGCCGCAAGTTTTTCCTTTATCATGTTGGTTACTAGTAGAGAAATATTTAAACAAAGAACTTGTTGTTCCACCTTTGGCGTGAAGACCTTCCAACAAATATTACATTGTACAGCTGCCTGGTTGACTTTGGAAAAGTACTGCTGGGGCACCATTTTACTTACAAGTTATCCTTCACTTGTATACGTCATTATCTTTCAATCATCAGTCTTTTTTCTTTGCTGATTATCTGTAGTGTTAGAAACAGGCCAGAGGATTCCTTTAGTTGTAGAGTTTAACAAATTTGGAACTGGATCCAAAATGGAACCAGCTGTCAGAACCTATCATTTATTCTTACAGTCACTAACTTAATCTGTTAGGTTTCCATTGTCTCTTACACTGTGGTGCTCATTGCTCGGGGGGGGCCCTTGACTTGTCTTATTTCTCGTAAAGTTTTGTCCGTCCTGATGCGGTTGTGGTCACAAACACATACACATACACAGACAGGCAGCACACCTTGGCACATACGCTAAATCCTTTACTTTCCTTCCTAATCTTTCTTTCCTGTTGATTAATTGATTAAACCCAGTGGGGCCGCACAGGGCAGCCAAGTCTGGCATGGTGGTCAGCACATGTTTCCATTGCTGCTGCTGTTTTGTGTGTCCACATTTTCACCATGCACTCTATGCAGTTGGGTCCCTCAGCTGGACAGGTTTGTTGTGGATGTGATGGGAATGGTTCTCCCTGTCCCCAGTTCCCCTGTGACATGGACACAGCAGATTTCCAGAGAGAGTGAGATCCCACTGAGGGAATACACAGCTGCCAACCCTGGGGTGTTAAAGTCACGACCCTTTCCTTCCCAGGCCGTTTGCTTCACTCTCTCTTTTGTATTTTGTCCCTTCCAGCAGCGCTGAGCTGTTTAGCACAGGCATGTAACTAGTTACTGTAACTAAATTATAGTTATGTTGGTAATTACAAAGTGGATACTTGTGAATATATTCCTATGGATAAAAAGCCAAGAACAGCCTAATTTTCATTATGTTGCTTTGCATATTTTTGCAGCGCAGGATTGTCTTCTTTTGGCATATTTATGGACAATGTTGGACAAATGTACGTGCAACCCCATCATGGGTAGGATGGCTTACAAGTCTTTATAGCTAGATCACTGGCATATATATTTAATGGACATGGTGTCACCACCTCCCTCCCCATGCAGAAATGAAGCCAAAACATTGTGAATATGGCGGCTGCCAGCTTGCTTTTTTGCACCATGATTCGCACAGAGTAGTTAAGTGATGTATCAGACCACCAATCAAATAACTTATCAAAAACAAACTTGCCAGAAAAATGAATACTTGAACAGACCAAGAACTTAGCTTGGCTCATGTCCCATCCACTAATATGGAGGAGGGGGGATTTATGAGCTACACTATAATCCGCCACCAGGTGGCGATCACAGTGGCTTCACTCCTGGGGGCATCCAGAGTTTCTACAGTTGATGGTCTAGATAGGCTCTATTCATTTATCCTTTCATCTCCCACTTTAAAACTTTTTTAGAAAACTAATCAGTTACATTTCTTATTGTATATTTAACAGGGTAACTAGTAGTCTGTAACCTATTACATTTTGAAAGTAACCTTCCCAACACTGAGCACAGGCTAATTAACATCTTGTGGTCAGGATTTTTATAACTGGCCTTGAAGTGTTGTGCCTCGGGGGTTGCAGATGAAGTCACGTACGTGGAAACTGCGGCAACTGACTCAGCATCACCGAACAAGCAGTGATAAAAATACAGTTTCATTTGCAGTGAAACACAGATTCCAAGAAGTGCAAAGGCCATTTAACCTGCAGTGCCTATAATAAGCCCTGCTCTGGCATCTTGTTGCTTTGTTAAGGTGTGGTGTAGTTGACCGCACGCAGAAGACTTCGTCATCGGGCTTTGCATTTGTTTGTACCAACGATTCACACAGTTGACTTTCAGTTTTGTGTTAAGATCCTCTAATCTTCGCTTACCCTTAAATTCCATTCTTCCTTTACAGCTGTTTTCTGATCATAGCCCTGTTATTACTTCATCAAAATGGAACTATAATAACATGTAGCTTTATATTTTTGTGCCTCTTAGAGCTTCTCTCTCAAAAACAGTAAGCTTTGTTTGGGCCTGGAAACTAACCTCAGGCCTTATTCACCTGGAATTGAATGCTAATAGGTGTCAACCATACAGGTGGCCTTCAACATTTGATTCCTGACAAACTTGATTGCCTGTTTATTTTGATGAAGACTCTGGAGCCAAGAGCCAGTCCCAGATTGTACCAATTTAAATGCAGAGCCTTAATTCCTCTCCATCTTCTGCCTTTCAACCATCTGCCAAGTCCTGTCTTCTTCAAGCCAGTCGGGTAAATTTACTTTCATCTGCATGACTACCTCCTTTTATTATGTCTTATAGTGTAACTGTCAGTCATGCTCTAATAAGGCATAATAAAGTATAAACACTGTGATTAAGAGATTGAAGCAGATATGAATCAGCCAAAGTGCGTGGTTAATTCACTTTCTTGAGAAACCGGATGGCTTTGTGCACACTACCGGTCTCCGTCTCCACCCCTGTTCACTCTTCACGTGGAGGTGATGGTTGGACACTACCCATCTTACCCAACCCTCTGGACTTTGTCTAACTTGATTTTTCAGTTTAGACTGGCTCAGTTTAATAAATTGGCACTGGCCTTTGGATTCAGTCTTGATATGTTTGGTCTCACCTGTAGCTTTTAATAGACAACACCATGAATCAGTTTTAACTTTCTGATGCCTTCTGTGGCTAAATAGTACTCTTGTGTCTGAAAATGCTATTGATAGATTATTTAGGCTGCTTGGATGCAAGATTAGTTATTTGTCTGTTAGACAGTGTTTAAGTAAAGTTAAGTATTAACCAAGAGTACCAGGAAACCTTTACAATGGTTTGGCTCATAGTGAACTGATTTTAATTTACCGTATTGACCTTGTTCGATATGACAACTGGCACTGGGAACTTGTGCATCATTAAATTAGTCATCAAGGTTCCTGTCCAGTTAGATCATGAACACTTCTCCTTAAAAGGAGCTGCACAAGTAACTGGATGTAATTTACCACAGATGTCAACCAGAGGACGATATTGAATTACAGAAACACAGCGCCTTTGTTTGGTTTTGCAGTTCAATTCACTTATATTTTATGAATCACTTAGCTACCATGGAAATAGACAATTTAAAAAAAAAATCAAATGGTTAAAAACACTGTACTACAGAAGAGAGAAATTAGGTATAAATCAGCCATAGCATGGGGATGTAACTTTGATGGCATAGGTATTGTCCTTGTCATGAATTACTCTTAAGTCTTGTGTGCCAACAAGGCAAAAATGCACATCAAAAGTGGTTGAAAACTGTCCACACAGTGCAGGATGCGGGCACAGGAGAACAGAATAGAGGTGAGGTGGGTGGAATTGAGGAAGGGCACATATTACATTCCCCAGAGCTGTGTAAGCTGAGATCCAAGAGGTGACGTATGGAGGGACGTGATGGTAGCAACGTAGGCCTTCACCACAAGTCTGGCAACTCAGGCAAGGCGGAGCTGAACTGAGCTGAGACATGCCTGCCTGTGCCTTCCTTTTTTCAATGATTAGGTCCTGTCTGACCTAATTCTTACCATAGCCACTGTCTGTGACTGATGAGTCATAAACTAGTAGCATTACAGTAAAAAGCAGCTAAAGACTGGCTGTGTTACTTATAGAAAAAGAGTCATTAAGCAATGTAACATCAATTAATATTTGTTAAACCAAAACAGGTGGTTAATGGGAATGAAGAGGACAAAATGTGATCCTTTGTTTAATACGATAAGATAATAAGATATTGTAACTATCATTTTG